TATTTCAAAGATGAGCCGAGGGTTGTGTTGCTGTTCCCACGTGGAATGTGTGATCGATTCAGCGGGTTTTCTAAAGACAATGCCTGATTTCAGTACATGGGGAGGGGGCTAGCTCAACGAGCGGAATCTGACGGGAAGAATTCATCTCCATTCTGCATCGACTGTGATTCATTGACAAAGATCCAAATGCAGGAAAGGGTTGGGAGGGGGTTGGTGTGTTTCTGTAGGACTCAAAGAGTTCTCTCGTGCGTCGATGTTGTTGGCAAGGCAAACGGACGCCCGGGAGCTCAAGACAGGCAGGTTTCTTGCATTTCCTGTTTTGGTGCGAGTGGATGCATGTGCTTTGGGGGTGTGTTTGTCTTTGCACATATATCGGAATGGAATGTCCATATTCACATCTATGCCAGAGAAGACATATTTGCACCCCCCACCACTGGTTGGAAGATCAGTTTGGGGATGTATTACCATCCCCTGGTAGAGATGTAGAGTTCAGGGCCGAGGGCGCTCGCTCTGAGGCCCACCGCGCAAGGCCAAAGCCAAGACTCCCGTGGTGCCCCTGAAGCCGCTGGGCAAAGCAGAGGCTATGTGTGCAGATAGGGATTTGCACCCTTAAGGTTGTCCTTTGGCTTCCCTTTGACCCCCCGCCCCGCAAAATAAATATGTAGATTGGTAGCCTCAAACAAGACGCAACCACCATGCACACGTTTTAAAAAGTGAATGGCAGCTGCAAACGATTCTGACAGCTTCGTTCAGAGAAGCCTCAAGAGGTGGCATGCATTTGCCAGCACACAAGTTCTGGATAAGGTGACAGGCATACTTGTTGGTGTTTTTTTTTGTTTAGATAGTTTCTGCACAATGCACTTGTGTGTATTTGCCTGGAAGCAGTTTGGACTACGCACACACAGAACACACGTGTAACAATTTGTGTTATTTGAGGATTGTGATAGTGGTTGATGCAGTGGACGTTGGGATGCAGGTTCCGCACACATGGTCAACACCCAAAGGGCCGCTGGTTCTGCCAGGGTATCTTGCTGGGTCACCCCAACCCAGTTTCGTCTCTTGAGGCTTCCGCTCTCCTTTGGCAGCGTCCCCGAGAGTGCGCCGCGCGAAGATCTTTCTGCGGAAGCTGGCTACGCAGCAGCTGGGCCGCACTTGCTAAACGGCCGCAGCAAGTATGACATGAGCCGCAATCAAACCAAGGTAGTTGAAGGATAGTAAGGGACAGTCCCAACCAGAAATGGGTGCCGTCGCCGCCTTGGTAACTCGTTACATGTCTTTGGGTTCACCATTTGACCAGGTTTTGAGTATGATTCGCATTGACATTTGCTGTCTGCGTGCGGAATGTCTCTCTAAGGGAGTGGGGCTATTTAGGAGGCCTCCGAACACGCAGAACTGTTTTGTTAGGCCATTTGAATCCACGGTGGGAGAGTGATTCTCCTGGGCATGCCCGTTGTTGCAGGGCTTATGCTTGGCTTATCCAGTCCATTAGGAGACCTCATTGATTGCCCTACTCAGCTTTGGCTCTTGTGACCTGCCCTTGTAGTCATTGGATAAAGGGAGTGTATTTTTTCTTGAGGGTACCCCTTTTGAATTTTGCTTAAATGGAAATGAACAGGAATCAAGATTGAACGACTGAACAGAAGCTTCGAGAATGTGTTTTCAATTGCGCAGATCATAGATGTTACCTTGAGGATTGCGAAAGGATTTTGGATTCATGGAAAGGAGTCTCGTTTGGCACGCTACATCCCTGCAGGGGAAGTGGCTGCTGTTAAGGGGAAGTATTTGCAAGTTTCTCGGGGTTGATTCCCCATTCTTTTCAACCATCGTTCTTTTCAAAAACCGGATCTGTTTCCCCTGGGTGTTTGATGGTTTCCTGAAAAGAGGGGATCCCTGGAAAGAATGGGCAAGGTACCCCTAGAAGGTTGCATTCTGCACCCCATCTGCTTCAGCTTCAATAACTTCAATGGCAAGAGACTCACACAGCACGCAGGAGTGAATGGCTTGGGGCCATTTCGATGCTTTTAACCTCCGGCTTCCCTTAAATGTGGCTCAAGTCACGAAAATCCGAGGGGTGAGTCGTCAATCGCATTTTGTGTGTGTGTGTGTGCGCTGACACTTGTTCGGAGGCAGCGGGATGGACTTATTGACCAAGACGCGTGCACATATGAGAGGGGAGAAACACAAACACACACACACACACAGTCATAAACACGCAAACATTTCACGCAAACACACGTTTTTCATCACTACTTGGACACCGTAAGTTGCCCCTCCCGGCCAGGGAAAGTTTCGCTTTGTCCCCAGAGTTTGCAGTTGCATGGATACCCTCCTGACAAAACCAAGGCATACTTCGAGCATCTGCTGGTGTCGGACAGGGTTTCATCGGTTGTGCACTTAGAGTTGTGCGCACATCAGCGGGGCCCGCCTCAATAAAGAAACAAAGAGTCTCTGCATGACCCGCTTCATACCAGGGGCCCATGAATCTCTATGGTGGTTAAGTCTTGGGAGGCGAACCGAAACCTTTTGAAGCAGTAAGCATGCAATGGCGAAACAGTTTCCCTTCTTGGTGTCCTATTGCTGATTAGGATCACGCATCCTCGTTTTGAACCTGGCTTGTCCCTGCAATTCCCTGCATCTCCGACTTTTGAAGCACCCACTGGGTTTTGCAAGCGTCAGCATGTTGCAGCCACAGACATCGCCCCTTTACCCGAAGTACATGTCCGTCATTCCCCCCATTGACAAGAGACGGGTTAAGTTCGGCAAAGATAATGGAGGCCATATCGGTTGGGGACTTGGATTGTTCCTCGAGAGGGTCATACTCCAAGCTATCAGGATTGTCAGGTAGCCAAATCCATCGCCTATCCACAGTCCTGAACATCTTCAGGCCCTGCGATGTTCAGGCCCAAAGTCAGGCAACATGACACGTTTAACCACTGACTTTGGCGAGTTCCTGGCCGAATTGACGTCAAAGAGGAATGCACGTTTGAAGCTGCCATACACAATTATGTGCAAGGAATTGACACATGAATCTATGAGTTTCCTTTGCTGAGCATAGAAAGTACTTGGCTCATCTACAATTATCGGATATGGAGATATTAATTATGCACCAAGACCTGTGGTGTGAAAACCTGCCGAATTTACTGAAGGACTGTTGTCATGTATCTCAGGGTCTACCCACAATGGCTCCAAATCCTCACCCAGAGTCTTACTGCCCTGCACAGATACCTCAGAAAGGAGTTCTCAAAACAGGCGTTTCCTCAATCGACTGGCTCTTTAAAGATGGGGTAATGACCCCGCAATATTTGGCGGATGGCCCCATTTGGTAAGGATCATGGAGACTGGAACGGGTGTTATTTTTTGGCCTAGCCCTGGTACAGGGCTAACCCTGGCAGGTGGTTGGTTGGTTGGTTGGTTGGTTGTGTTGTGTTGTGTTGTGTTGTGATGTGTTGTGTTGTGTTGTGTGGGCTGAAAGGGAAAGATGGTCCCTCCAAGCGGAAATGTGATCTTCCAGGGACCCTCCAGGTGCCATAGGCGAATTGTTTGTCGGGGTTGGTCGGTTGTCATGGAGACTCCCGGTCGCTCGGTAGGAGATGCAGCGGCGCTTGGGCGCTTTGGCTTCGGGTGCTGAGAAGCCCTCGCTGGTCGCCAGCGGCGTCATGCTGGGTGCGGCCAAGGACAGAAATGGCTCGGAACCAAGGGGAACGAGAAACTCAAACACTTTGTAAAAACTAGAACAAAAACAGCTATATTGTGAATCTTTGCAACACTAATCACAGCTCTTTGCATAACAACTCAACCTACAGCACTTTGTTTCGCAACACCTCACTGACAAGACGAGGATAAGGAATGACCAAACGAGCGTCCGGGGGGATGTCGACAGAAGCTCGTGGTTCATTGGTGAAAGATCATTCGAGTTTCTTCACTTCTCGAGCAACTTTCACAGGGGTGTGTCTTTCTTGGTGGTCCCCCCTGTTTTTGTTGTCCAAAGGAAACCCAAAGGAAAACCACCATTCTGCGGCCGGGGGGGGGACACAGACACATGGAGACCCCATACGACGGGCGATCTCAGGACGACGGCGGGCTCGCGGTTTTGCTCTTCAGCCGCGCCAAGATCCTTCAAGGCAGATGAACTTTCTACCAGGGGTTGTATAAAAAGGGCGCGTGTACTACTTTATTGGGCGGGAGTCTGCTTCTGACCCTCTAAAGATGGGCTCGTGATTTCTTTATTTTGGGGGAAGGGCCCATTTTAAAGGAGCCATATATTTTTTGGTAGAGTCTCCATGACACTTTAAACAAGGGGGGGTCGTGACCCCTTTATTTTAGGGAATGACTCCATTTTAAAGGGTCATGGAGACTCCAGGTAGGTGTTGATTCCCTTTGTTTGGTTCTCGAATTCGAACCGATGAAACGCCCCAGTCTTATTGATTGTTATTTGTTTGGGGGGGGGGGGGATTTGTAGGGGGTTGAATCCAAGCATTCTTCTCAACCATTCTTTTCAAGCAAAAATCCGCTGTTTCTCTGGGTTTTGATGGAGTCCTGAAAAGATTCGGATCGTACCCCTAGAATGATTTGTTGCCTTGCAGATGATATTGGGTCAGTTGCCCAACGATCCAGCTGCGGCCTGATGTCACTGGTTCTAGAACATCCACCTCTTGTTTCCAGGTCCTTTTGGCGAGCATGTCCTGGCTTTGACGGGTGAACATGCGGATTTCGCACACAAGGTATCGCTCCCCTTCACTGGGCTGCTCGGCGGTTTCCGTTTTTTTTTTTTTTTTTTTTTTTTTTCCGGGATGCTTTGGATTGGGTTGGGCTTGCCTGAACCTGCGGCGAATTGCTTCGTTCGGCTCGGCCTGCCTGGATCCATGGACCAACAACTTGGGCCTTGGGGTCGCGGGGCGCCGCCAACACTTCAGAGGTCAGTCGGGGCGTGATGTCGCCAGCCTGCTGATGGCATGGAACTTTTCGGTTCCAAGCCATCCCGGAAATTCGCCAGGCGACCTGGGCTGCGCGCAGAACGACCTCTGGGCCGTGCGCTTGGGCCGGGAAGGCGGGCCCGAGATCTTGCTGCGGGCCCTGTGGAAGGGGGCCGGGCCCTCAGCCGGACGCGGCGATGTGGGTGCATATTGCTTGACTGCTATTGGGTTGGATCTTTAGACTTTAGCTTGTTGCTTGAAATCAAGGTGTTTTTCCACTAAACTCACTAAACCCCTAAAAAGTTGAACTTTTTTGCAGGGGGGCCAACAGCAACCAAGATTGACCCTGACGCTTGGTCGCGCCATGGTCATCTCTGAAGCCTTTGTGACCGAAAAGTCGTTCGAAAACCTTTTCAAATCCCGGCCTGATGCAAAAAAGCAATCCGGGTTGCCCGATTGATGGCCTGAGGTAAACTTCATGGCAACACAGCATAACACTGACATCCATGGAAAAGCCTGGCAAGAAACACAGCACATTGCGCACCGGCCTTCCCACTACGTATGCACGATGCAAGCATGTACAAGATCTACATCAGGCTGCACACTCTCTCGCGCCTCTCCTCTCGCACCTCTCCCACCTCTCCTGGTTTTCCAAGCGCTGGATATGGCTTGCTTGTTGTTTGGGCTGATCCAAAAAGGGACCAACAGCCAACACTGAAAGGAGTCGACGATTTGGTTTGCTGGGATGTGCCATACGTCCTATCGCTGGGGCGAGAGGAGTGGTCTTGTTGCTTTTCCCATGTCCATTTGGGTGTTTGCCAAATCGGGGCCCCAAAACCCTTGGTTCTGTATGGGTGCGTGTGTTTTTTAGTGTACCCATTAGTGGCGTGGCCGTAAAAGGAACCCAAAAGGACAACCCGCCATTTTCCCGAAACTAACAGGCGCACACGGCGTACGGGTCCAAGAACTTGGAGGCGCGTTTTCGCGCGCGGTTTCGAGGTGACTCCGAAGGGCCGGCTGCTGTGCGCCCCGGTGAACCAGGCGGCCAGTGAGTACCTTGAGAGCCACAGGCGAGGCGAAAAACCGTCTGGAGCCAGTTGCCTTTGGGCGTGTGCCTCGTCATTTTGTTTTCCGTGGAGTTGGTACCCGGAGTTGGGTTGGTTTAAAGGGAAGCCAAAGGAAGACCACGCTTCTTTTGGGGGGAGGGGGTCCCCTTAAGAAGACACGCCCAGTTTGTTTTTGAGTCTTCTGAGCCAAACACCAAGCGCTTCCGCGTCAAAGGTCGCTGCTTGTCTTCTCAGAGCCTGACTTCAGATGCCGTTGACCCCTGATGTCAGGTGGAAACGAGGGGTTGCCAGGGCAGGTCCCTCTCGTTGGAGCCAACTCAACCGAGGGGCGCATGAGGTTCTGGGATCCCTCTCTATTCATGATCCGTGCCTTGCAGCAATATACTTCCAGTTTCTTTTGAGGCAACAAAAGGGTGAACCTCGTTGCGCCATACTGAACATCAAAGCGGCTGGCGTCATGCTGACACCGGAAGTAGCAAAGCTTCGCGACATTTGGAAGTTGTGCGATTGCTGAAATGCAGCTGTCATTGAGCGCGCTGAGGGGTTGAGGGATGCGACAACAACCAATTAGTCTGCCTCGACGGTCGCTTGACCCTAGAAGGCGGCTGTTAGCGGCCGTCATTTCCTCTCCCCATACAGGGCTTCCCAAGAAACCTTCCATTACTCCTCATGCTTGCGTGGCTGTGTTGGGAAGGGCCAAGATGGGTCAGTAAACCAGTCACTTCTTACTTAATGGCCTTTGCAAGAAACTGGTGCCTTGCAAGTTGCACCTGAATCCACGAGGAGCACGGCATGTCAATTCCATGCGGCAGGTCACGGCGCCTGTGTACGACCTCTTTGACGCTTTGCTGCGGAGCTTTCGGGGAGCTGCTGCAGGTTGGCACCCGGGAGCGAGTCAAGCGCCAGGATTTTGCCGAAGGATTCGGAGTGGGATCGGACGAACGAACAAATCCGGGTCTCTGAGCGCAGTGCGCGGCCTTTAGGGAGTTTTCCGGGTGACTTTAGGGAGCACAACAGCAACTTGGTGTAAGGAAGATTACATGATGCGTGTAGCAAAGAAATCCCAAAGGATTCTGTCCTGGGCCGATCCCTGTGAGTTCCAGTGCAGGTGCTTGTGGCTGGTTCTCGCACCATGAAGAGTGGGAGACTTATCAAAGCACCGCAAATGGTCAAATGGGTTTGTCTCATATCATAGGATTTGGACCTCTAAACTTGGTGATGTCCTTTTGTTCCCCTTAAAACCACCCCCACAAGGGTATAGCCAAATTTGAGCCCATGTTAAGTTAGTTTGTACATGTGGGGCTGCCGTCCAAGGCCCTTGGGGTGCGTGTAGGAGGCCAAGATACAGGTGCATAGAAAGTGGCCACAGGCCCCCCGCTCGCGCGCTTCACCTGCTAAGTCCCAGCCTTGCCTGTGGCGTTGGTCTCCCGTTGCCTCGATTTCTAGGTCCAGCTAGGTGCCGTTTCTTTTACCGTTTCTTTTTTGGGGGAGGGTTCCCCTACTAAAATAGACTACAGAAAAAAGATGGGGTACCCTTATTCGAACCTCCCTACTGGAGGACCTAGATTTGCTCCTTCGCAGCTTTCCAGAGAATCCAAGGAACGTCCACCCCCCAATTTCTTGACGAGTTGCGGTCTCGCCTCTTGTCGCACAAAGTCAAAAGACCTCAAACAGCTGCATAGGTGATAGAGGCTTCAAGAAACCAGAAGGAGTTCAGCAGAACTGCCCGCTGCCTCAAAAACTCTTGAACTGCCTGCTGCCCCCAAAACTGGTTGAATTTGATCGTTTTTCAGGACACCGGGGCCAGCAACCGGGGCTAGCAAACAGCTTTGCCTTGAGAGGGCTGCCTTCAGCTTTCAGGTGGGGGCGCTGAGAGCAGATCCAAAGCGCGCAGCAGTGCTGCAGGCCTCCAATTGGAGCGGTCAAAGGGGGGGTTGAGTTCGCCCTTGTGTCTTTTGTGGGTGTTTTGGGGCTAACCTTTTAAAATGCCGGAAATTGGCCGGTTTGGCGTCTTACCATGAGCGTGCAGGATTCTTTCGTTCTGGATTAAATCAGAAATTCGGGGGTTGTCTTAGGGTAAGCCCCTAAAATGGGAGTCCTCTTCGGTTCCCTTCAAAACTCGCCCTGCTTCACCGTTGCACGTTTCGCAGTCGACTTCTCCGGCATCGGCCTCTCTCCCGGAGCTTCCGGAGTTGCAAGGGCTCAGCGAAGAGCAGAGAGAGGCGCGGAACCCGGGGGAAACGGGCGTGGCCCTGGTGCCATGACCCCCAGAAACACCCTCCCCGGTTTGGTTTCCTATATTCGGGAATCCCCGAAATCGGTTCATGCCCAAACCCGGACTCGTCATTCCCTACCCTGCGCGCCAAGATGAAAGGCGGCGTTTAGGGCATCGCCGCGAAAGGCATGTGCACACTCCACGCAAACGAGGCACAGGTGAAAGAGAATGTGGTGCGGCCATACGTCAACAGGAACTTGAAAAGCTAAGCCCCGGCATTTTCGCGTGGCCAGCTTGGCTCTGATTGCGTATGTTTGGCGTATGTTTGTGCACGTAACCAACACTTTGATTTTGATTGAAACCACCCCGGTTCGCGAAAATACAAGCAGAGCATTTGCCTGGCGTGCTGAACAACATAGTTGTTCAGTGGTACATGTTGTCCCTGGTTTCTCAGTTGGTCCCCTCCCCAAAACCAATCCACCAACAAAAGTCAATAAATATGTCCAAGCAAAACTGGCCACCAGAGGCAATGACAATGTCGACCTATGATTAAAAAACCTCCCCCGATAAAAGTTATGTTGTGGGGCGGCACTGATTAATAAACCCCCCCGAAATAATGTTATGTTGTTGTTTTTGTGTTTTTTTGGCGGGGAATCCACACACACACACTCACAAAAACACACCAAACAACACACACACACCCGCTAGCATCGTTTTAACCTCTTCCACCAGCTTGTCTGATTGGTCAGTATCTGCCTCGCCTGCCTTAAAATTTCAGATCTACAAAATTACTAGCTCCCAAACTGCAACTTCTTTACATACTCTTGTTTGAAAAGTGGCCCCGAATCAACCCTACAAGGGGGGGTAGTACTTGGGGGTTGAAAAAAACTTTATTTAGAGGCCCCCTAAATAAAGATTCCTGGTTGACCCCCAAAGGCTTTCTCAGTAAAAGGCTCAATGTTTAAAAGATTTCCCTTGAAACTTGCTCCCTATATGATTTCAATCATTTAGCTTTTGCAATCCCAACAAAATCCCAGCTCCCAAACTGCTAATTCTTTACATACGCTTGTTTAAAAAGTGGCCCCCAATCAACCCCACAAGGAGGGTAGTACTTGGGGGTTAAAAAAACATTATTTAGGGGGCCCCCCTAAATAATGATTCCTGGTTACCCCCCCCCCCCCACAAAAAGAAAAAAGAGAAGTGTCACCAGCAATACTAAATCAATTGGAATCCCAACAAGTCTAATCTCAAAAGGAGGTACTAAACCAGTTGAAACTCAAATCCCTCAGCAATACTAAACCAATAGGAAACTCAAATCCCTCAAGTCAAATCTCAAAAGGAGGCTCCAGCAATACGAAATCAATGAAAAACTCAAATCCACCAATACTAAACCAATTGGAAACCCGATTCCAATCTCAAAAGGAGGCTCCAGCAATACTAAATCAATGAAACACTACAAATCTGTGAGCAATACTTAGCAATTCGAAATCAAGTTGCAAGAGCTATTTGGGGAGGGAAGTTGTTTGAGGGGTGTGTGTGTGTGTTTATTAATCAGAGGTAGACATTATGCTCCGTTGCCGCATGTTCGACGAGGATATCAAACTTGCACTTTGCTCCCATGCACATCCATGAAACGGGGAAGAGGCCTTGGGCCCTCAGGCTGGACAATTCTTGAAGTGCCTGCGCTTGCCGCGGTTCAAGCTGAATCCACTGCGTTCTTGCCGTGTTTTGGCCATGCCGAACATGCCGCTGACAGGAAAAAGTCAACACGGTCCTCGCTCGATCCATCAAAACGAGAAAACGAGGGAAGGGAAGCATTGCAGAGGTCATGTTGAAGGGGTGAGCACTAAATTCCACAAGATTTTCGCCTCGGGATTTTCGCTCGACCTTTTTTTTTCCAGCACAGGTGGCCCGTCGGGTGGCCGCCTGGTGTGACGGCCCGGCGCCTCGAAAGGGGTGTGTTCTTGTTTTTCTTTCAGGGACCCCCCTTGTTTTGAGCACACATCCAAAGAAGCAACCCAATTTTAGGGAAGCCCCACAAAATCGTGGTTGTCTTTTTTGGGTTCCCTTTAAACCAACCACGAAAAACTGTACCCTGCTGTCGAGCACACTTCTCCCATCCGCTTTTGCGGTTTCGCTGCGGTCGCTGTATTGGAACCGCTCGAGAAAGCTACCTTCGCAGCCCTGCAAAAGGTCCGAGAAAAGCATGGGGGCTCAAAATCGGTTATGCATGTTTTAGTCGTTGTTTCCATTTACCAAGCTGCCATGTTGGGTACAACTGTCTAAACCACACCCTCATATCAAGTTAAACAAATCCTGGTGCACTCCCCCACAATCAGCATCAATCAACCCCCTTCTTGCACAGTTGGGACTCCTGGGAAAGCATCATCTACGCTTCATGGCACCCTCCTTTCCCAGGGACTCGTTGGAGAAATCTTTGGAGGGCCCATATATGGCTGTGGGTCAAAACCCAGGAAAGTCCTGGTGAACATCAATATAGGTGGTATATGGATGTTCTTCCGCCCCAAAATGGTTCGCCATAGGTTATGGCCCATGGCCATCTTTTTGCTGCAGCGCTCGAAAGGCGCGAACATTTGCCCAGTGAGGTGCTCAGGGCTGCGTCCCGGTGCGGGGCGTCTTCGGCTCGGGGAAGAGTCGGACGCTGGCGGCCTGCATCGTCCTGCTGGACAGGCGCGCCTGCCTTTCAACCGGAACCCCCCGATGATCCGAGCGAAACGGTGGCTCGACTTGCTTGGAGAAACGGTACCCCCGTCCCTGTTTTTTGGGGTGTTTTTTGACGGGACACCACCATTTTGGGGAGGCCACTGAAAAACGGCACGCATGTATGATTGATGATGTTCTGCCATTTGCTTAAGAATCTATTTTATCCATTAAGAATCTGTTTTATTTTCACTTGTTGGTTTTACGTGGCATCTTTGGACATCTTTTTCCTCAGGAAGGCTGAAGCAACTTAACGTTTTGGAGCGTGGTTCCCCAAATCCGGAAATTTGCTCAGTTTTTGGGAGGGGATTCCCCTGAAGTCCTTCAAAGGTAAGTGCCTCACTCGAGTCACTTGCTCAAAACCCGGGGTAGTTGGAGGTTGCCTTCACTGCCTTGAAGTAAGTCTTATGTCGACATGGTCGACCATGCTAATGCCGGGTTTGGAGCAAGTGACTCACGCTGATCTGGTAGACAGAGGCTGCAAAGAGGGACATGCTCCAGGTAGTCTCCCACAAGCGCCATGTTAAGGGAACAACGGTGCCGTTCTTATGGCCACCCTTTGGGTCCGGGGTGAGATCGAAACGCTCGAGTTTCTGGTTTCATGGGGAAAAGGCGCTGAGGTCCAAATCCCCGTGTTGTGTGTTCAGTCGCTCGTTCGCCTTTCGAGTGAGTGAGAAGGTACAAGCCGGCTAAAGCTGTGTGTTTTGGGCAGGCATGTGACGTGTGGGCTTGCTAAAAGCAATCCAAGTTTATAAACTGGGCGAAGACCTCTGAAGCAACTTTAGCCCGACTTGTGACTTGGATACGTGGGATTCCCAGAGATGTGATCGAGACATCAGTTCTTGAATGGCATAAGTCTGCAGTTGAATGGATGCAGCTGGCAGCTATGCCGGCTATGCAAAATTTGCTGCTTGAGCGACGTGGAGGAAATATATGTTTGCATGACTGCAAGAAGGGCTCAGGCAGGTGGTTTGGTATGGAGCAACTGCAGGTGACGAACCTCACGAACACTCCGTTTGTATAAGCCCTTGTTTGCGAAGAACGACAAACCTCGCGTATGCCTGCTTGAAAAAGCCAGCGCGCACATGCGGGGAAAGAACAGCTGCCCGAAAGCTCCGCGAAAGCTCCGCTTTTTCGCTGTTCAATCGGCCCAGGCTTATTGCGCTTTAAGATCAGAAATGTTGTGGTTGCCTGCACAAAGCGAGAAGAAACTTCAAACCCAGTTCTCAATCCGTGAATGCGACGCGGAATCGATTCCCTCATCAAAACCTCTCGCGAAAGGAACCTTTCATGCCGCGCACTTTCCTTCGGCCGCAACTTTAGAACACTGCTCACTTCTCGAAGCAAGTGAAGGTTCCGGAATCTGCTGTTTGCATCAGGCTTCTGAATTTGCATTTCAACGGATCCAGGGACTGTCAGCTTCATTGTAAGTCAATACATCATTGCTTGGACCCTCACTTCTGAAAGACCAGCTACTCCTTTTTTGGCGGGTATTTGTCGAATGCCTGTACAGATTTCTGCAGCTGGATTCTAATATCACAGACTGGCCATTCGGCACTGCTTGTACTGCGGCGTTGTGGCTTGAGTGGCAACCGTACCGTCTACGTCCGGGCCCAGCATGCTTTGGAGCTTTCTCCTCTTGAGCGCTTTGGCGCGAGGTGAGAAAGCCGCCCTGCTCATCATTGACGTGCAGGACGGAACGGTTTGCTTTCAAAAAACATGTCAAACTATACGGAACCTCACCTCGTGGAACAGGTATCATTCCTTTGACAGTGCGGGGTTGTCCAAGTCAGAAACCGGGGCGAAACGCTCTCTTCAACCTAGGGGGTGACTTTGAAGAGGGCAAAACACATGCACCCAGCGGAATGTTCCTCGGACTGCGACGGCTGAGTGGTACCCAGGGCTCCTTAAAACATTTTGCAACCATTTGAAACATGTGGCTTTTTCAACACCAAAATAAAGGGACACCACCATTGACAAGTTTGCAATGTTCAGGTGTTTTCTTGTATTGATCCCTCAGGACTGCTTCCTGCCAGGTGGGAGCCTGGCGGTGGACAAGGCCGACCGCATCTTGTCCAAGATCAGCGAGATCTACGAGGAGAAGGACTGCCTCTTCGACTTTGTGGTGAGGTCCCAGGATTTCCATCCAGAGCCTCAGCTGCCCAAAGCGAACGGAAGCGACCCATTTTTGTTCAAACTTTTGGTTTCCCAGTCCATGTTTCCTTTTTGTCCGGTTCCACAAATGTAGATCACCTTTAACCTAATGTTGACCCCGGATTAATAATATTATTAATGTGGGGTGTTCCTTTCCAAAAGTGATGAATCACCAAAACCGAGGACACCCCCATATGAATAAACAGGTTTATGCATCTGGGGTCAACATTAGATCACCTTTTGCTTCCTGACCTCTTCAGCTTTTGGTTTTCCAGTCCATAATTTACTTCCTGATCTTTTCAGCTTTTGGTTTTCCAGTCCATAATGTCACCTCTTGTTTTTTCCTTAAAAGTAGATCACCCCTCCAAGCTGCCAACAACTGAGGAGCGCCACATCTCCTTCGGCAGCACCCACCACCTCCCGCCCTTCTCGGACTTGCCGGGGCCCGTGGGCCTCGGCAAGGGCGAGCTTCCACTGACCTGCGTGAAGCCCAGCAGCGGCCAGACCGCAGATGCCTCCTGCTGTCCCAGCTTCTACCTGAACCATGGTTGTCTTCACTGTTCTTGGCGTGCTTTTTGGTTGTTTAGTTTGTTGGTTCCCTTCATTTTTACGGGGGGTCTGCAAAAAACGAAGTTTTTTGCTACCATACCAAGGGTAGAGATGTTGTTGTTGGGAAACATGTTTTACATTGTTGTGGTGTAGTGGTTGAAATCCAACCACTTATTTGCTAAACTTTTTCTGGGGTATATTGTGGTTTAGTGCTTGAAACCTAACCACTTAACTGCTAAAAACATGTTTTTTTGCTCCCCTTCCAACGTCAACCAAGGAAGCCCAGCGCCTTCAACTGCTCAGAGCAGCTTTGCCCAGGCGGAGAAATGTCAGTCTTTTACGGTCGAACTAATTCTCTGGTTAGTCTCTAATTAGTTCTCTAATATCAAAGCTTCTTATCGAAGTATGATTCTGATAATGTCGGTGGGTTATTTGTATCAAATTCAGCTGGGGGGGGTTCCCTTTAACCTATCGCTTGGGAGCTGAAGTCTTTGGTTGAGGATCTGCGAGAATTAGTTACTGGTGGAGCAACACGCGAGTCATCTTCCGGTTGTTCCGCCTCGAAAGCCACCTCTGACGTGCTCGGGGCAGATCTCACCCAAAAGAAGGCAGCAGCTGCGGGTGTTTCCCTTGGACCGTGCACTTCTAAGGTGAGCCACAATCAAAACCCGGGTAGATGAAGGATAGTAAGCAGCAGTCCCAGCCAGAAATAGTTGCGGCCGCCTTTCTAATTCTTTACATGGTTCTGGGTTCACCAATTTTGTACCAGGCTTTGATTGTGACTCAGGTGACTTTCAGACAGTAGCCAGGTGACAGTGCCAGCCATGTCTACGAGGGCAAAAGCATCATCACCGGCAACCCTGCCTGCACGCTTTGCGCCCAAGATCCCAGCAAGTGCTTTGAGACCTCCCAGCGCATGTGGACCGATCACTGCCTGCAAACAGGCGACAGCACATTTCCATCCGCTCTCGAGCAGCTGACCACTGATGTTGTTGTTCACAAAGGCATCAACCAGTTTGTGGACGCTTACAGTGCATTTGCTGACAACACCCACAACTTGAAGACCGAGCTAGACAATATTCTCAAGCAGAATCTCGCTAGCAAGCCGACCTTTCGACCTGTTGTTTTGTTTGTTCTACTCTGGGTCCATGTTTAGTCATCCCAAGTTGTGGCCGCCTTTCATTTCCACAGCTGCTGGACAAGTGAGGCAGGGCATCACAAAGCTCTACATCGTGGGCATTGCCACAGACGTGTGCGTAACCTACACCACACGGGACGCGGTGCTCTACGGTTATGAGGTCGGGCTTGATTCAATGGAACGTGTTGAACACGGAACTGTTTTTTGAAGCGTGGTTCATGATACGTTGATTGGCAACCAGCGGTGAACGAGCTCACCCATGCTGGAAGCGGAATTTTCTACTGGATTGAGAATCATAATGAGAACGACTGTCATATTGTGGTTTCTGTTGTGACAGAAGCTTGCGCTGTTTGCGACACGAGCTTGTGTGGCTTGAACCCCGGCCTACGCCCAGCCCTCCGAACCACTCCCAGCCGACCGCGCGCCACGGAGCGCCGTGCCCTCATCGGACTCCTCCCTGCAAAGCCGCGCGACATGTTCTGCTTGCAATGAGCATTGCCAATTGCCGAAGGGTTCCCTTAACTGGGTAGATGGGCTCGTGTAAGATTGCATGCAATCTCCCTTATACAAGTTAAGGGAACCCGAACCCTTTTGGTGGATGAGGGAAACCCTTTAGGTGGACTCCCCCAATCTATGGCTTTAATCTTCCTCCTTCGATTCAAAAGCTGCAGGTGGTGGTTGTGGGCGACGCCACCGCGGGCATCTTCCCGGACACCGAGGCCTCCGCCCTCAGCTCCTTCGGCGCCTTGCCAAACGTCACCGCGCCCCGGCAGAGTTTGGCACGTGTTCGCCGCTGCTTCGACTGCGGAGGTAGGCCCCCGTGTTTTTTTTTGGGGGTGGGTGTTCCGTTCCGGTATTTGAGGTTGGTGCCGTGGTTTTGTTGGTTGTTTCTCGTCCTTGTTCAGGTGTTTGTTTTTATGTCTTTTCTTTTAAATACATACATATATATGGAGAGAGGCCCTTTGAAATGATGTTTCCATTTCGCTGACCTTTCGTTGGCCGCATTCCATGTTTTGCCACTTGCCTTGCCCCAGACACGTTTGGGCTGGGATCCGTTTTCCAGGGAGGGCTTCCCTCAACGACCGAATTGAGGTGATGGACACCGCGGAGGTCTTGGAGGCCAAATGCAAGCGGAGGCGAAGGAGAAAGTCGAAGCCAAAAGTGGACTTGGGAAGATTCGGTGGCCCATGGTTTGGGCAGTTTCTGCCTGGAGTCTCCATGACCCTTTAAAAATGGGGGCACTACCCGAAATAATGGGGTCATGGACCTATTTTTAAAGGGTCATGGAGACTCTAGGTGAAGGCTAATGAATTAGAACAACTTACAGAGCTCTTTGACCTTGAGTTGAGCTACGATCAATTATTTAAATATATTTAAATACATATAACGTCCCACCAATTGACATGAAACCTGACGTCCGGACCCTGTGGCCCTCTAAAAGGAAGATGCTATAAGATGCTCTTCCAGGAACCCCCGAACGCTAGGTTCCATGAATTCATGAATTGGTGAGCCGGTAGCTACATTGTGATATGTGCTTTGGTTCAAGGGTGTCCCTTGGTGAAAAACGATCACAATGGGAAGATTTACCTGTGACTATAGCCACGGAGTGTGTGCATTTTTGGTTCGAAACTATCGTGGGTTTCGAGCTCACCGATTCAGTCTTTGGGCATCTCTGGTTTTATATTTTGGGAGTATAGCGACACATGAAAATGGTTGTGCCAAGTTGTTGCTAGGGTCACTTTCTGTCATAAGGGAAACCCGTTTGAAGTGACACAGTAGTCTTAGGCATAATACAGGTTGGTATCACAGAGAGGCCTGTCTTCCACTTCCATGCCGATGGGCATCGTATCCGCACACGCGCAGAGATTCATCATCCTGCCTCCTTTAACATAACTCTGTTGCCCAGTGATGCCCTTTTTTAAAACTTTTTTTGTGGAAGGGTTCCCCTTGAAGCTCAACCAACCAAAAACACGGGTGCCCCTTTTTTCCCCAATCCACTGGGCATCTGAGTCTTTCTATTGATTCTCTCAGTTCTTCAGCGCCTTGTGCATTCCTGGGGCTTGTGGTAGAGGGTGTCCCCCCTTTCTTTTGCCACGAGGCAGGGCAAAAGCACCGCTTCCCTTTGCCACGAGTGGCTCACTGGTCGGTTGCACAACACATCAAAGTGCCATCGGCCTTCGACACTTTCAGTTGCCCAGTTCAGCCAGGTGAAACCTCGAGCGATGTCCTGTAGGCCACTAGCTCCTTTCCAATTCCCCCGTAGCTTGGCCTGGCGGTCGCGGGTTCCCATAAGACCCCTCCTTTGATCGTTGGGTTCAAGGCTCGCAACAGGGCCTGGGATGTTTGGAGCTCAATACGTTTGCGCCGTATGCTGTTTGCAGACTGGGGATGGATTTCAACGTCAATTTGGTTGCATTCGGATGGCTGAAAGCCTTGAAGGGAAAGCAAGCACTCTATGGTTCATGCCTTGAATGATTCACCAGATTTGTTTTGCGGCGTCGCCTCACGTTAATATCGCTGTTTTTTTCGTGGCTCCGCATTTTTTTGACTCACCCCGTCCCTGCCATCGATCCATTCGGCTCAGGAGGAACGCTGGAAAGTGGGGTGGTCTTCAGGGCGCGAAGGTGCTGGATGAGTACGCACCCCACTGGCAGCTCGGAAGGCCAAAGCCTAACCTCTGGGGCTCCTGAGTTCCCATGAAACAAAATGGCCAGGACGGATCCTTAAATCATGCTTGGTATAT